TATGGATGGGTTTGCTTTTATCTATGGACAGGTTTCCTTTAAAGGAAATTATGTTTAAAAATGTTGACGAGACCTAGAATATAAATCAGTTTAAAAATAATGCATTCTAAAAGGTCTATTTGCCTTCAGTGTTTCCGTTAGAAATGTAAATTGTGGAGGACTGTATTGTCAAGGCTTGAAAATAGCACAATAGCGGCACAAGCCACCCACACAGTGTTCCTGCTGGATGTAAGTGCCATGTAATTCGTGAATGTTTTCACCTTGCAGTACGCTAGGTCTCCCCGCTGATCCGACGGGTACACTGTACCGATCACAGCTCTATTCACTCGTCACAATGAGAAAATGATGAGGGGGAAGGAGCAAAGCAGCCAGACATGATTTCTGGAACCTCGCAAACCGCAGATATTAAAGCCAGACTCCAGGCAGAGTTTTAGCTTTGGATGAGGAGGGTACTGCGAGGTTTACAGCCATCGTCCGGTTTTTAGAGCCGTCTGGTTCTCATACGGGGGGGAGTTCACCCTCTTTATTTGTCCTGGTGAGAAGAGGCTCTAGTTTTATAGTTAGTTATTGGGGTTCTGTGTGGCCAATCACCGCCCTGGTATTCTTTGTTGCTGCTTTTCACTTTCATAAAAACCAAGACAAAAACTGTGCTAAAATCTTCCACTGTGTTAAGGTGAAAGAGAAATGTGGTTTATGGGGTTTTAGAGCATTACTGGAGAAAACCACCCACCAGTATCATAACATATGTGTGAGCCATCTCTTCCACATTGTGTCAGTTTACAAGCAATAGACAACTGAGACAGAACTCAGATCAGCCCCAATACCTCCACCTTCAGACCTCAGATCAGCCCCAACACCTCCACCTTCAGACCTCAGATCAGCCCCAATACCTCCACCTTCAGACCTCAGATCTGCCCCAATACCTCCACCTTCAGTCCTCAGATCTGCCCCAATACCTCCACCTTCAGTCCCTAGATCTGCCCCAATACCTCCACCTTCAATCCTCAGATCTGCCCCAATACCTCCACCTTCAGACCTCAGATCTGCCCCAATACCTCCACCTTCAGTCCCTAGATCTGCCCCAATACCTCCACCTTCAATCCTCAGATCTGCCCCAATACCTCCACCTTCAGACCTCAGATCTGCCCCAATACCTCCACCTTCAGTCCCTAGATCTGCCCCAATACCTCCACCTTCAATCCTCAGATCTGCCCCAATACCTCCACCTTCAGACCTCAGATCTGCCCCAATACCTCCACCTTCAGTCCCTAGATCTGCCCCAATACCTCCACCTTCAATCCTCAGATCTGCCCCAATACCTCCACCTTCAGACCTCAGATCTGCCCCAATACCTCCACCTTCAGTCCCTAGATCTGCCCCAATACCTCCACCTTCAATCCTCAGATCTGCCCCAATACCTCCACCTTCAGACCTCAGATCTGCCCCAATACCTCCACCTTCAGTCCCTAGATCTGCCCCAATACCTCCACCTTCAATCCTCAGATCTGCCCCAATACCTCCACCTTCAGACCTCAGATCTGCCCCAATACCTCCACCTTCAGTCCCTAGATCTGCCCCAATACCTCCACCTTCAATCCTCAGATCTGCCCCAATACCTCCACCTTCAGACCTCAGATCTGCCCCAATACCTCCACCTTCAGTCCCTAGATCTGCCCCAATACCTCCACCTTCAATCCTCAGATCTGCCCCAATACCTCCACCTTCAGACCTCAGATCTGCCCCAATACCTCCACCTTCAGTCCCTAGATCTGCCCCAATACCTCCACCTTCAATCCTCAGATCTGCCCCAATACCTCCACCTTCAGACCTCAGATCTGCCCCAATACCTCCACCTTCAGTCCCTAGATCTGCCCCAATACCTCCACCTTCAATCCTCAGATCTGCCCCAATACCTCCACCTTCAGACCTCAGATCTGCCCCAATACCTCCACCTTCAGTCCCTAGATCTGCCCCAATACCTCCACCTTCAATCCTCAGATCTGCCCCAATACCTCCACCTTCAGACCTCAGATCTGCCCCAATACCTCCACCTTCAGTCCCTAGATCTGCCCCAATACCTCCACCTTCAATCCTCAGATCTGCCCCAATACCTCCACCTTCAGACCTCAGATCTGCCCCAATACCTCCACCTTCAGTCCCTAGATCTGCCCCAATACCTCCACCTTCAATCCTCAGATCTGCCCCAATACCTCCACCTTCAGACCTCAGATCTGCCCCAATACCTCCACCTTCAGTCCCTAGATCTGCCCCAATACCTCCACCTTCAATCCTCAGATCTGCCCCAATACCTCCACCTTCAGACCTCAGATCTGCCCCAATACCTCCACCTTCAGTCCCTAGATCTGCCCCAATACCTCCACCTTCAATCCTCAGATCTGCCCCAATACCTCCACCTTCAGACCTCAGATCTGCCCCAATACCTCCACCTTCAGTCCCTAGATCTGCCCCAATACCTCCACCTTCAATCCTCAGATCTGCCCCAATACCTCCACCTTCAGACCTCAGATCTGCCCCAATACCTCCACCTTCAGTCCCTAGATCTGCCCCAATACCTCCACCTTCAATCCTCAGATCTGCCCCAATACCTCCACCTTCAGACCTCAGATCAGCTCCAATTCTAAAACCTTGACTTCAATTACTGTACCTTTCGCCCTCCTCATGAACCCCAATTTCTGCATCACCAACAATGCAGGGGCTTTACATGCATACCTGCTGCAGCTGGTGGTTTCTCTTAGAGAAGGAAAAGGGTGGGTATGAATGGAATCTAATATGTTATTCTCAAAGCTGTAGAAACATTGTACAGTAAACTCCCATTTATCCGGCATCCATGGGGATTGGTAGATTCTGGATAAATATAGTTTCTGGTTGCTTGAGAGTTACTAATAAAAATAGGTCCAACTAATGCCATACCCCGTACTAAAGCATATCATAAACTCTGTATTGACTTCATATGAATATTGAAATGCTGTAATCAAAAGCAAATTAGGACAAATAGACACACAATCATTTCCAGGATAATACATGCCGCAGAACAGTGAGTACACAGGGGATTATTTTGTTTCTGGTTAGTTGAATACCAGATAACAGAGCATATACTGCAGTATACTTTTTATTTAACAAATGGTATTCCTTAAGTTTACTGTCCAAAACTATGATATATATTTCACTTTGGCCTTAGTGTCCTTTTTTAAACACACCATAAAAATCCAATATTAAACCCCACATGAGAGGAAATGTGTGGGTGAGAACAAGGTGTGACTACACGATCACACCCGCAGCTCAGGGTTTCCCAATACATTGACAGCTGCAGTTTGTGAGTCTGGCACAGAATGTAGTGCTAGACTATCTGCTGGTGATATGAAAAGATCTCCAGCCCGACAACAAAATGCACAGTTTGGATAATTATAGAAGTGTGTTTTACCTACGGAGAGATTCGTCATTCTGTTAAAGTGTTTGTGTAGCCACAACTTTTTCTTTTTAGAGCCAGGAAGGATTAGAACCCCTGTCAAGTTTTTTATTACGACTGCATCAAAACAAAAGGTGTGTAAAGTCTTAGTTTTGCTTTAGAAGCAGCTACATTTTGAGTAGATAAACTTGTTCCCTGACGGCGTGCTGCAGAGGAGAACCCTTGCTCTTTCTGTAGAAGCAGTTGTCTCTCTACAGAACATCTCCCCTCTGTATTATAGAGCAGTCTTCTGTAGTCCTGTCCTAGGGCGACAATGTTGCCCTTCCTTAGAAAGCAGTGAGTGAAAGTTGTCACCTTAGGACAGCAAAGTAGTGTTTTAATACTTTGAGTCACTGACCCAACACAAGTAAAGTTGCCTACCTTCAGGCTCCATTCACAGAGCGTTTTCCCCTGCGTATGCACGCAACACGTAGGCCTCATTCACACGAGAAAAGGCCGGCACGTACAGCTCCATGCTGCGTGCACGACCGTATCGGGCAGCTCCCGGGAAGGACAGGTGCTGCGTGTGATTAGTACGCAGCCCCGGCCTTCCCTATGGGACTACGCCGCCCTACGCTCGCCTCAAGTGCAGGTCCCTACGGGTGCCCGGCTCGGACGCCGACAGGATCCATCCTGTCGGCGTACGAGTATGGACACCTGCACAGACGTGCAGGGCGGGTGAGCGTAGGGTGGCGTACGGCCGCGCATTCCCATAAAGGACAGGGGTTGCGTACTAATCACACGCAGCACCTGTCCTTCCCGGGAGCTGCCCGATACGGCCGTGCACGCAGCATGGATCTGTACGCGCCGCCCTTTTCTCGTGTGAATGAGGCCATAAAAAGCGATACATTCTTATGGGGCTTGTTCACACCTGCGTGTTCGTACGTGCGCATAAGAACACGGGGGAAAAAGTACATACACAATTTTCTAGGAGGTATCGGTGCATTCTGTCCTGCAAAAGACTGGGGTTGTAGCCGCAAACGCACGTAAAAATGCACGTCTGTTATCTATTGCGCATTTTTGTGCAACCGTGCGTATAAATGTGCTGAATTTGAAATGCGCAGGTGTGACTGGAGCCTAAAGGACAATGGTACTTTTAACATAAACCTCTCTATTCTATCCCTCCCCAACCCCCACCTCAGCTTCTTACATACCCCTGGAGCAGAAGGCCCTCCTGTGTAAGGTTTACCTGGGGCAAAAATCTTTTTCAGCCCTGGCTGCATTTGTGTATTAAGCCCAGATAGATTTGTGTTGGAACTAGAGCCGGATTTAGTTTCTCGACTTCCCCAAAGCCAGGTTCCTCAATCCAACCCCCCCTCGCCCCCCACCCAATGGAGAATGGCAACCAGATCGCGGGGGCGGCGTTTTTTTTCCCTCTGCTGCCCTGAGGCCAGGCCTCGGTGGCCTCGTGGGAAATCCGGCCCTGTTTGGAACGTCATGGACATTAGAGCTGCTTCCCAGGACTGACCCATAGAAGTGCATGTTTATAATTACTTATGCTCTCAGTCTGAACTTGTATTGTATTTTCTGCCAGGTACCACGATAGAGCAAAATGGGCTGCCAGGAAGTGCATGCCGTGACCCTGCTGGCCTTCGTCTGTGGCACGGCCTCCATCTCGGGCCTGTTCGTTGCCACCCTGCTACCCCAGTGGCGGCAGATGAGACTGTACACCTATAACCGCAATGAGAAGAACTTGACGGTCAGCATCGGACTGTGGGTGAAGTGCACACGGCAGGAGTGGAGCAGGGAATGCCTGATGTACGACACGGAGTGGTACGCTAGCGTGGACCAGCTGGACATCCGTGTTCTACAGTTCGCCCTTCCCTTTAGCATCCTGACAGCCAGCTCCGCCCTCATCCTGTGCCTAACCGGAATATGCAACACCACCTTCAGCTCCAACGTGCCGAACTTAAAAATTGCCAAGTGTCTCGTCAACAGTGCTGGTTGCCATCTTGTGGCAGGCTTGCTGTACATCCTAGCTGGCATCATTAGCCTGACCCCATCCATCTGGTCCATATTTTACACCAACGTGTTGAACAGAAAATATAGTCCTCTGTTCACCTATGACATTGCAGTGTTTGTCGCCATCGGCAGCTCTGGCGGGATGTTCGTCACTGCCCTGTTACTGTTTTTGTGGTATTGTGCCTGCAAGTCCTTGCCATCGCCATTTTGGCAGCCGCTGTATTCTCACGCACCCAGCATGCACAGCTACATTCCGCCGTCGTACTCCTCGCGGTCCCGTATGTCGGCCATAGAGATAGACATTCCCGTGGTTACGCACACTACATAAATTGGATGTGCTATTTTTAACACTGAACTTTCATCTCCCATCTAAGTAGTTGTACGGTGGTCATTTAAAGGGTCACTCAACCCGAAACAATAATATGGGTTTTCGTTAATGTTGTTGAGTTGAATCGTCCACAAGCTTCTCATCTCTTGGGATCTCTTGTAGTGAGGCATGAGCCCTCAAGTTCCCTGGACTGCCCCAATGCTAATGCCATGCTGAGGAGGTCTCAGGTTCTCTGTTGGATATTTTTTTTGTAAGTTACAATAAATCAAATGATAGAGGGACTGCCCCACCACTGGTGTTCCCAAGACAGAAAAGGAACCCAGAGGATGAAGCATCCTAGTACTAACCTAAAGATGAAATACTGATTTTCTTTTTTTGAAAGCCCATCTCCGGGCAAGCAAAAAAAAAGTACCCTTGCCGTGGAGCCGCCCCCTGCACTGCAAGGGTTAAGTGCTTGTTCTTCTCTGGGGCTGGAGTAAATTAGATTTACTGGCCCAAGCTCCAGCTGGCTCCCCCAGGACTGGTAGACCGGTCCCTGCTGCCTCTTCTCCCCTGGGCTCCGGCGGTCGACAACATGTCTAATGCAGGTTCCATTGACCTGCATTGGTCATGAGGACGCTGAGGGACATTCCATTAGCTGGAGTAGAAGGGAAGAAGAGGAATGTGCCTGAGGGGGCGGGGTTGTCAGGGTTCAGGTGAGTAAATCTGCTTTACTCCAGCCCCTAGAACAAAATTAGCACTTAATCCTTGCAGTTTAGGGGTAGCTTCACTGCATGGGTACTTTTTGGTCTGCCCGGAGATGGGCTTTAATGTGTTAAATTTGTACTTTTTATCTAATATCTGTAACGGTGATTAGTACCTATTTTTTGCACTGTACTTTTGTATTGGTTATTTGTGTTTTGCTTTTTAGATGTTTTTGAAAAAAAACCTTTTTTATTGTTTTTACTTCTGTGTTAAAGTGTTACCTAAAGCCCCAACTTTTTATTTTGTTATGGATAGAGCGGAGAAACTCTGTCTGGTTAGCATTGCTGTGTACACCTACTGGTGAGATTGATCCTCATTATCTCTCCGGAGAACTAATGGTGATGGTGGCGATCCCAAATTTCACAGTACTGGGGGAAGCTAAGACAGGATTTCTGCTCCGTTTGGAAATATTTCCTCTTGCTTTCCTGTTGTGTCTCCAAGAAAGGATATAAAGGGAAATCTCCCCAATGGGACACAACCAGCACCAAAAGAATCCCAGAAGGGAGTTTTACCCATTCCCTACGATGTAAAAAAAAAAAATCTGGTTATAGACAAACTTTTAATACCTCATTACAACCTTATTTAAGGAGTTCTGTACCCTTTGGACATTGGTGGGAATATACTGCCATTGGAAAAAAGTGTCCAGAGCTGCTCATGCCAGAAATAATCAAGCCCGGGGCGTCGGTAACCTCCAATCTGCAGCAGTTTTCAAACCTTACTGCTGGTCATACATATGAATGATTGTTCGCTGTAATGATTGTTTTGATGAAAGGCTTTCAAAAATTAACTGCAGCAATTTGGCCGTTCCAAAATCCAGTTACATGCGGACAGATTGATCGTCTACTTTGTTTTTAGCCAATCTTTGGATCAAAACAATCTTGACAATCTCTTTAATACCATGTAATAAATGGAACTAGCAAAATCACGACCCTTCAGCGAAGGATAAGGTTAGGAACATTACAGACAATGCTAAAGACGTGTTCTAGCAGGCCTACAGCTCAAATAGCATTACTTAATAGGGGTGCACAGTACAGTAACCCATAGCAACCAATTACATTTGATTTGACTATAACCAGCTGAGTAAATGCAAAAAATCTGGTTACCAAGGGTTACGGAACTCTGCATATTGCTTTGTGCATTGTTGAATGAGATCTAGAGCAGCCACTCAACCAGTGTTCTTTAGATCCCAAGGGTTCCTCCAGATTTTGCTCGGGGTTCCTTTAGCTGTGACCTCCCATTTGAAGCCTGCGTAGTTTAAAAGAGAACTATGGGGTAAGTGTGTTTCCCCATAGTTCTCTTTAGGGTCACGGTAGGACATATACTAACCTCCTCCCGTGACCCAAAGCTCAGTATATAGGAGGCTATTGCCCGCGATATACTGAGAGCGCCGCAGCCGGGACGGATCCTGACAATGCTGTCTAGATCCACCCCTCTGGCTGATTGACAGCGGGCTCTGCCTATCTAGAGGCAGAGCCAGCTGTGCCCGCCCCCTCCCCGTTCGTTCCTTTACTCGGTGCTGGAGGATCGGAGAGGGGAATTCCTGTGGGGAGTCGTGACTGACAGTCACCGCTCACTGCAGGGAGACTATCGGGAAGTATGCGCATCGCTGCATTTTTCTGCTCGCTTCCTGATCAATAGAGTCGACGTGTGGCAGCTTCTTTGTCACAGGTCGGCTCTAACTATGAGAATGAGTGGAAATCACTCACCTCATAGTTCTCCTTTAAGGGCCAATACCACTTGGCAGAGCCAGCGGGATGATGCTATTGATCTTTTTATCTGTCTGTAATCCTGGCGTTTTGGCCACCAATGATAAAGGGCATCTACCCATTAACCCCTGATGAATTGCTTTTAGCAAGGCTTCCCTATGACCTGAATTTTTTTTCAAGGGCTCCTCTCCTCAAAAAAGTTGGCAGAGGCTGATTCTAGTGCATATCAACCATGACTAGGCCCTAACTGGTGTGGGGAACTTATATATGTGTCTTTTATGACAAATATAACAAACATATACTATGTGGCGTCTGTGTTGTTTGAAATCTAGATATTCTTAAAACGTAAGACTGTGACCTAAATATTAATCCCTAACAAGCCATTTCTAGAATGCAGCACAAAATCAGGGACTGAAAGTATGTTAGAACAACATTCATCCTTGTTTGTCAATCATCAGGATACAGAATCTGTTGATCCTTTTGTGATTTAAAGAATGCCTGGAAAAAAAAATCTCAGGATTTCACTTATCTCCCATACTTATGTGAGTTACCTTTTACTCTTCTAAATGCTAACATCTGCCATGTGCACAGTTTTAAAACCCTTCGTCCATCCTCTGACAATTATGGCTGTGCTATTCGCTCCATCTTGTGGGTTACCATGGTTAAAAAGTAAAGCATCTCCTCCCAGTTTGCTGATTCATGATGTTATTCCGCTGCTCTCCCCCTACTGGACAGTGTGGATACAGCAGCTGTTTTATGATGTCATGCCCCTGCTCTCCTCCTACTGGACAGTGTGGATGCAGCAGCTGATTTATGTCATTCCTCTGCTCTCCCCCTACTGGACAGTGTGGATGCAGCAGCTGATTTATGTCATTCCGCTGCTCTCCCCCTACTGGACAGTGTGGATGCAGCAGCTGATTTATGTCATTCCTCTGCTCTCCCCCTACTGGACAGTGTGGATGCAGCAGCTGATTCATGAGAACTAGCTGAGTTATGATTGACTCAAGGTGTACATATTCTGATCAGGGGGCATGTCTAAGTACTTAATTAGGCCCATGTCACACTGGTTATCCTGTTACTGGTAAAAACTCGCCAGCAGCGGAATTGCAATGCAGGGCAGTGGGGCACTCACCTTCTTACATGTGTCCCTCCTTCGCTGGCTGTATGAGCCAGGCACTGCTCCCTCACTGGTGACTTATAATCTGCAGCGGTTTTGTCAGTGACGGTGCGGCACCTTGTTCTTCAAGCCAACGAGGGAGCGACACATGCAAGTAGGAGTCTGATTTTGTTGCACATTCTAGGCACCCTGACGCTGGCAAGTTCTTGTGAAGCTTCTTCTGAAGGTTTAGCAAATTGAAAATGACATGGAAAACAAATGTAAAATTGTATATGTAGTTAACTCCTTAACGCGGGCGCAAGCATATATGTGGCAGCGCAACGCTGGGCTTTATATTGCGCCACCACAAATATGCCTATGGCTGGCGTCGCTGGTTTGTGCTGGGACCGTGCTTCCTGCACTGTGACCGAGCATGCACGGCTACAGCTCCCAGTCACAGTTTACAATCAGAAGCTGATAGGACATTCTCCCGGATGCGTGATCACTGTGACAGCCAATCGCATGATTGGGAAGCCCAGAAAACGCCTCGGACGTGAAGATCCTAAAGGGGCAAAAAGGAGTCGGAGTAAAGGGGTTAAAGACGCACTAAATTGCTTGTAATTATTCCTAGTGAGCCGGTTCTGGCAAAATGATGGACACTAAGAGGGTCCTTTTTTACATGTTTTCACCCAAGATTCACATAATTTTCTAATTGGATTCCATTGGAAAAAAAAAAAATGTATGAATCCTGGAAAAAGAAAGATGTCTGAATCTTCTGAGAATTTTTTTTACAAATGGACCCCTAAGGTAAACACTGTCCTTGTACATGAGCACAAAATCTGACACCGTAAAAAAACAAACCTGTGATATAAAGGAGAAAGCCAAACGGCACTATTACAATTTACTATTAGAAATGTTTCCTTTTTTTGCTCTGTGACACAAGTCATTGAGGGGTGCACATCCTCGAACTAATGGGCGGTCTATTAGTAACATATCCAGAAGTTGGGCTGTTCACACCTGCACATTATGACAAATTATAACCTTTAGGCCTCATTCACACTAGAAAAGACCGGAACATACAGCTCCGTGCACGGCCGTATAGGGCAGCTCCCGGGAAGGACAGGTGCTGAGCGTGATAACTACGCAGCCCCTGTCCTTCTCTATGGGGGTACACTGCCCTACGCTCACCCGCCCTGCACGTCAGTACGGGTGCGGGTGTCCGTACTCGGATGGATCCTGTCTGCATCCGAGCCGGGACACCCGCACGGACCTGCACTTGGGGTGATCGTAGGGCGGCGTACCCCCATAGAGAAGGACAGGGGCTGCGTACTAATCACACGCAGCACCTGTCCTTCCCGGGAGCTGCCCGATACGGCCGTGCACGCAGCACGGAGCTGTACGCGCCGGCTGTGAAGGTGGAGGTGCATTAAAACACTCGATGTACACTACAATTGTTGACCTCCAGAAAATATTTGTTTCCTACCTGCCTTCGCCTCTGGGAATTTCCTGAAATTGGAACGCCTGGTCTGCATACTTGATCCAGGGCAGTGCCTCATGGTGCTGAAGTTCTTTGACCGGCATGAAAACTGAACTAGCATTTAGAGTTCAGTGATGCCAGCCCACC